AAAAAAAAAAAAAAAAAAAAAAAAAAAATTACTGAGATGGCTAAGATAGAGACCTAAATTTTATATACTAAGTACTCTTCATTTATTTAATTTTTTCCTTGTGTCATTAAAGCTATTGTTATAAGACATCTTTTAGTTACTACTCGATTATGTGAGCGTGCACTGATATAAGTACAATATTATAAGTCTTATATATGAATATAATATTAAAATTAGAGGTGAGATCATTTTATCACATTTTAAACATTTGATCATACGAAAGCTAAACAATATTAATTATTACAATCCCTACAGTGATTGCATAAAACCTAATAATGTAATTTGTGTAATTTTAAGAGATCATGACCAATTAACTAACCGAGAAAAATATTAAAATTATTATTATAATAAATTATTTATGACCAATAAGCATTGGATCAAGATTCAATTGAACTTCAGCTTTTGTACATAATCTGACACCAACATTAGAATAAGCATTGGATCAAGATTCAATTGAACTTCAGCTTTTATACAAAATCTGACCAACATTAGAACAGGCTTCTTCTGCCGACTGAATACCAGTATGCGCTCATTTAATCCCACTGGACAAGCTCAACATGTACAACACAAGATAAGTCTGTATGAAAAACAGAGAGCCTATTAACCAGCCATTTTCATTTGCATGCCCCCAATTGAAACAAAATTAGTCACTAACACATGTCTAATAACAAACCCCAGGTAGCTCCATCCAAGCTTTAACAAAACTAGTTTTTCAACCAATTTTGTCGAAAACGCCTTGGGCCTAGGGAAGGCCTGGCAACTTAGTAGCCATCCAATTTGCAATTGCTACTCTTAAATGTGATGACTATTCCCAAGGAATCATTTCCTTAAAAAGATCATTCGAAAACGAGTCACCCAAACAAACAAATAACTGGGACTTGATTCCAGCCAAGCCAAGCAAAACAGGAAAACAACATTTTTTACATAACAGATTCACCCAACACTAACACTTGTGACAGAGTGAACTGATTCACCGAAAGGTAAGTGACAACACGGTTGGATACTTTTTGGGCCAAGTTGTTCATAGTAAACTGATTCGATGTATATGGCTAATTAATTGAATTCAAACGTTATTTGGACTTAGCAACCGACTCAATTACACTGATCCTGCATCTACAGCCATCCTAGTCAGGGAAGAAGAAAGGAATGGTTTCAAATAGGCTCTATCCAAGTCAAAGCGTGTACGGGACTATAGACAGAAGCCGGTTTCGTTGGGCGCTTCTGAAAGCCGGTTGTCTAATAAGGTAAGTGCAAGCCTTGAAATCAGTAGGGCCCTGAAACAAAAAAATAAATAAATAAATAAAAATAAAAGAAAAAATAAATAAATTACATCGAACCTATTTATTTTATGCATTTTATTCTCTCTTTGGCCCACTCCACACAAGAGCTCTTATGTTACAGGTTTGAAGGAAAAACAGAAATCGATAGCTAGTAACTCAAGATCATAACATCAAGTCCAAATAAGAACCACAAACAACTGCTTTCAGAAACAGAAACAGAAAGAAGCAGAAGAAATCAGCATATCAACAAGAATAACAAACCATTACTATTCCTCTTGCCTAAGTACTTCAATTACTTTTGAATGTGGCTAATGTGCAGCAAAGAACTTCCTTATTTGCTGAATTAGGGAACACATCTTAGAACTAGATCTTAGTGTTAAAGTCAATACCAAACATTGATTACCATGATTGGATCCTAAAACAAAGACGATTTAGGGTTACACGTCCATCCAAGATTTAGAGTCTGCTCAAATCCCATCGAGACCACACATGAAATAAGAAAGAAAAAGACAAATGCATTCTTATGGACATCAAAGCAGGTGCTTGAGCAACCCTTTTTCGAACTTAGAACAAAAAGTGACCGAATCTGTT